TGATAGAACGATACACAACTATTTAGTTCTCATGGGCCACTGTGAGGAACCAGAGTGAGGGGAGAGTAATTTGCACGCCCAGTCCGAGCCTAGGCAAGGACGGTGCGTTGAAGGCTGACCGTGCGGAGGACTTCCATACGGAAGGCTTGGACGGTATTTGGGTCACAGCGGGCTGTTTGGGAGGTCGGGGAGTGTTTGTACACTCCGTCTACGAGTGTATACTTTGCGTACGTTTTTCTACTCCTCGGGTCAGATGTGTGGAGATGTGGGGCGATTTTACGGCGCGGATATATAAGGTTTACACTTTGGTTTTATGAGCCACTGAACACGCAGGTGTCTTAAAAGCGTCTGGTGAGGGAGCACGACCACACTCTGAAGGGCGTAACCACTGTCGAAACCTTACAAAATCGAATCAATCTTGACACTAATGGCATTCAACTAATCACACGACAGGGCCGCCCCCTGTTATTTCCGTTTTAACAGCTGGAAGCACGAATCGTTTTTCTCCAAATGTGTCGGGGAGTCCCTCGGGGCAGCTCGCTCGCCGCATGCTTGCTTATTCATTCATCGCTGCTAAATAAATAGAACAACTACTACTCGCTGCGGACGGAAGGCATATTCGAAGCGTCGAAGCGTGTTCGGGATGTCGATCTCGCCGGGTCCCTTGGCCCCCCGCGGCGCGGTCCTCACGCGCCCTTGGCCCTGGCGGAGCTCCGCTAGGGGCTGGCACCCTCGGACTTGGTGCTGTGCCAGGGGTTACAGCACCGCAACAAGGAGGAAGGCTTTTCCGACACAAAACCCGTTGTTCGCACAGCTCGCGCAGCACAGGGCCTCGAGGCGATGCGCGACCGCCCCGCCCCGCGCCGCCCCGCATTCGACGCGCCCGCTCTGTTTAGACGACCTCTTTGCGATGGCGAGTGTCTGTTTGCGCGGGAGCGCCCCTTAACGACTTCATTCTGATGACCGCCCCGCACGCGCCCAGGCGCCCGGCAACATCGAGACACAGACGATACTTTCACAGAACTATTCACAACTTTATAGAGGATTATTTACGGGTTTTTTTCCGTTTTCGGCCGCGGTTACAGCGCGCCGGTCCCAACCCAACGCGCCCCGACAGACTGGTGCCGCGCCACTCACCGAGAGGTGGCCGTCAGCTTCGCGGTCAGCTCCGCGGCGCGGTCCACACCTGAGGCAGGCGGACTGAGCTCGTCGCGCGCCAAAGCCCGCGCCAGAGCCGCGCCCCGGCCGCACGGCTGCCAACGCAGCAGTCGCGCATCACATTTTGTCGAACGTACTGTATTCATTAAGCATTAATTTTATTTATTTCTTTCCAGCCAAGGATTTCGTTCTGCAAGATCGTAGTATGGCGAGTGGAACGGCGAAACACAGTCAAACAATAAAAGGAAAACAGCCGAACACTACTTTTCCCTTCCCTGTTTTTGAGGAAGCAGCACGCCGTGCACTAGAACTCGCACATTGCTTTGATATGTGGGCGTTGCAGCGGGCAGCAACAGCGCGGGCTGTCCGCGCATCCTGACAAGGTCAGGGAAGTGGGGAGGGGATGTCTAATAACCGGTTTTGTCAGAGATGCAACAGAAACAGTTCCAACAGCCCAATCAGTCAGAACTCATCGTCGCTCTCTCATATACCACTCATTCATAAAGTGGCTACTGTTGAAATTGCATAATAATTGAGTCATTCATTTGCTTTTATATTTTTTACAGCAGTATCGTTTCCATAACTGAGGCAAGGTGCTAGTATAGAGTATTCCTTTTCAAAGAATCGACTTTACGTTTTGCACACGCCCATCGCATTCGCACACCGCTGTCCTCCTGCTGGCCGTAGGGCCGCGCTGGCCAGCGGCGGGCTAGGCTCATTCACTGGCGCACTGCCATGCATTTTAAAAGCCCCCCCCCCTCCGACACATTCGCTGATACGCGCCCCTCTATCGACGACAGGGCGGGTCAGGGCGACGTGACAGCGAGTGCGAGAGCTTGAAGCACCACCGCCGTGCCGCCGTGCTGGCCGCGCGGCCCCGCCAGCTCCAGGAGCCCCGTGCGGGTAGGCACTGCCGCCCAGCGGCGCGGCGGCCCTGCTGCCCGCCCGCCAGGCGCTCCCCGCGCCGCAGCCGCTGCCGCCGCGCCCCCCGGCCCGCGGGGAACATAGGCCCACCGGCGGCGAGGTCGCGGAGGACGGCCCGAGGCGTGTTTTCTAGGTTAGGAACTGCGTGTGTGCCGCGACTACCACGCCCCGCCTCACCCCGCCCCGCCCGTCCTGGGCACGCGGGGGTGCATACAGAACGCGCCGACACGCGCCGGGCCGGGCGCGGCGCAGAGAGGGACCACCTGCGATATTTCAGGCGACTTGAGCGGCAGTTGGCCGCACCTCGTAATCGCATCACATCGTATCGGGCGCGTGGCGGGGCGTGGTGCAGTGGTGCAGCGGGGTGGGGCAGATTGGGTGGGACAAGACGAGACGTGGTACAGAGGGGCGGGGCGCGCGGTTGGCGGGGAAGGCCAGATCAGCAGCAGCAGCAGCACAGCTGGCGGCGGTATGCAGAGCTTTCGCACAGCGCTCGCT